TTCAATCTTCATTCCAAAGACTAGAGTCTAGGCTGACACATTAATGCAACAACTGAGGGAGTGCCTTCTTTTCGATGATACGGAGTCTTCAATTACCTCTTTGGTGGATGTAAATGATCCTGAGGAACTTTTTAAAAAAAGCGCAAGGTACTTCTTTCCATTGTCCTAGCCAACAATTTTCCTTCAACCAACTTTTTTGTTAAAATAGATTATTTGATTACCAGTTGTGGATCCTTTCTTTGTGTAAATTTGCTGTTGCATTTCCTGCTGTGAAATATGGGCTACATTTCAAAAAGCATTTTATTGGCTGTAAAAGGTTGTGAAAGGCAATAGATAAGTGGAAGTTCTTTCTCTAATGAATATGGAAAAGTAGATTTTTATATAAAAAAAGCTATTCAGAATTTCACTTCAGTGGGCTTTTCAAACAATAGGCTTGGCTCATTTATATCCATGTGTACATAATTCTATTTATGCACTAATTGGCTGCAGAATTGGATTTACCGACAGACTCGTTAAAACAGTGGTTGTTTCAATTGGTGAACTTAATTTCTGTAACTTAAACAATCGCTCATTTGTAAACTACAAATTGAAGTTAAGCTGTTGATTTATTACATGTCCAAAGAAAAGGGGATGAAAGACTGTTTGTTCGCCTTCTACTCTGCAGTTTCTGTGAATGATCATTATCCATGCTATCTGATCAACAAAAACAAGTCAGCAAATCTGACACATTAAAATGAGACTGCAAAGGAACCACAGAACAAGGACTCATCATTTCCGTGCAATTTCCTATGCTTTTCATTGAAGTTCACTGACAGAAAACATTTAACACGATGATAAGCAAGGTGCCTTTCCATTCATAAAATCATACCACTCTTCAACTGATATAAAAGCAGCAATGACAAATGTGTACAAGTGAAAATATATTACAACATAGGTAGCTGCCTACCTGAATTCCTCCCAGTGCAATTTTTTTTAAAAGTAGGTACTGTACATTTATAACTAATCCCAAAGACAAGTAGGACTTCCATTTGGTATTATTTTGCTGAGGCTTTCAAATAATGTAGGAAATGTTATAGCAATAAATCTGTAAGGTTTCAGAAACCTTGTGTGTTTATACTTTCCCACGTAAGCATGGGAATAACCTTTCTTCTGTGCCGACTACAACCTGGACTACAATATTCCACAACTTTTCAATGATCACACATCCAATGAATCTATTTCAACAAGACACTAACATACAGATACCCTTTTTACTCCATCTGTTTCTCACTTGTCCCTATCTAATAGACAATTTTTAAAAAGGGGTTTGTTGCTCGTGCAGAACCTACATGGTGGTCCCCTCAAATCATTAGCCTCTGCTCATAGGAGCCTAAAACCACTACACCTAATATTGCTTGAGGCAACAGGAGTACCATACACAATGCCACATTGTCAATGTAAATATTGTGCATATTGGTGGAAATCTGCTGTATGACAGATTAAAGCATTATTGACTTCCAAATATTATCTATTCATGAAAACAACTTGTAGGCTTTGTAACATGGTTTTTGGTGTCAGTTTATTGTGGTTGGACCATTTGTGGAAGAGACAGAACAAGAACACAGGAAAATTAGCAGGAGTGCTTTAATTGTTTGATTATATCTGATCAACCAAGACTGAAACACAAGGATGACATTGCATACCCAAAGATGCGAAACTGGAAGCAGTATTTCAGTTATCAACCAGGTTGAACCTGGTTTATATTGCTTGGCCCTCACCAGGCTTGCTTTTGAGAGATCACTTCCTGCACTTCTGTATGCACGTTCAGACAGAAGTGTCCCCCACAAAGTTAGAATTTTACATTTTTAAGCAGAAAGAAAAGTTAAAGACTGGGCAGATTTACAAAATATGCAAAAGTAAAAGCAAAATACCACAGGTGCTGGAGATCTGAAATAAAAACAAAGTGCTGGAGAAACTCAGCAGGTCTAACAGCACCTGTGGAGAGAGAAAGAGTTAACATTCCAAGTCCGATTACATTTTCAGTTTTGAAGAGTCGTATCAGAAAATGTTAACTCTGGAGGGAGAAACGGAGATACTGCCAGATCTGAGGTGGCATGGTGGTTCACTGATTAGCACTGCTGCCTCACAGCGCCAGAGATCTAGGTTTGATTCCACCCTCAGACAACTGTTTATGTGGAATTTGCACATTCTTGCATGTTTGTGTGGGTTTCCTCTGGGTGCTCCGGTAGTTGGATTGGCCATGGAAAATGCAGGGTTACAGGGATAGGCCAGGTCTGGGTGGGGCGTTCTTTGGGAGGGTCAGTGTGGACTCGATGGGCCAAATGGCCTGCTTCCACACTGTAGGGATTCTATGACCTGCTGAGATTCTTTAGCACTGTTTTTATTACAAGATATGCAGATGGTCCAGTGAAAAATCTGAGCACTTTAAAAGCCAGGATTGATATTTCACTGGATTAACCCTTTATCTAGCGTCAAACCAAAGCAAGGCCTGCTTGCAAATCATTTTTCTCTACACTCTGGAACCTGGTATGGTCCAGGCTCAAAATTGCCATGACTATAAATTGTCCTGCGCACTTATGCTCAACTCGCAGCAATCACTCACACAAAAGCATTCATTTCGATAATATTTGTTGTTTAATATTGAATTGTATTTCAACTTGTTTCAGACAATTTCAATCACAACGCCTATTTTAGTTTGCAGGTACAGTTTCGCCAATTAATCTCCCCTTAGAGGTTTCTTTATTCCCCTTTTTAGTGCAGCGAGTACACAAATGATAACAGCTACAACGTTAAATCTTTGGCAAGTGCGTGGTTTGATTGTAAGCCACCGTGCAACATATCGCGTACACGTAATTTATAGCGGGACAATTCATTGGAAATATTTGAAAGAAAACAGCTACAAAAGGCAAAATCCAAAAAAGGCAGGAAAAAAATCCACCGGCTCAATTTTACCAGAAAGTCCAACGAACAATCTTCTGTGTAGAACTGCCCTGGCATAGACTCTCAAGCTGCTTTAACATTCTAAATATGCTCGGCAATGTGGGGAAAAGACGAAGTGTGGAGGTCACATATGGACAATTTCAAACTGGCAGTTAATGAGACTGCAGAATGAACGTCATTAATAACGGCTGCATATCGTGAGATCACTACGTGTTTACAAGAGAAAAAAAATACTGCATTTGGTATTCCTTCACTTCCTCGTTGCGTCCAGTCCCGACCGTTAAGCTTTCAGTTGGAAGGCTTGGGACTCGTCCAACCAATACAGTGTCAACACTACACACTCCATAAAAGGGTTGAAACAAACTTACTGCTTCTCCAACAGTTATTGTCAATGATTATCGTTTAGTGACATGCCAAAAAACAGCAAGCGCGCGCACACTTTAACACCAGCATGTGAACAAAGTCTGAAAGAATGGTTACTATGTTGCACCTTGATTTGAACGGCTCCGTCGTTAAAAGTGTCGGATTTCAATAAAAAAAACAAACATCCGGTGCGTTTACAGTACTACCAAAGTGTCAACAGCTTGGAAGCTCATTCCTAGATCACAAATCTCGTTACACATGGAGCTGTTTTCCCCACACAGAAAAAAAACTAAACCCAGTGAGATTCATGCAAAACGAATGCATTAACAACAGCCAAGGGTTTTTGAAATTTGACCATGTGGCCGTACCTAAAAAAGATGCACGTCTGGATTCATGGAAAAGAAACGACAGAAAGGGGTTAAATTGATCGATCACTCCGCAGCCGTAAGCTTGACCCTTTAGCAACTGGTCAAAACTCCTCTCCTGTCAGGCTGCTTAGTTCTGTTCATTCTAGTTTCCGACTGATACACAAGGCTATTAAGTGAAGGACGTGGTAAAATATCTGCCTCTTTCTAAAAGATGATGAACAGGCATCCAAATGAATTGCCTGTCTGGAACCAAGCACTTTCGCCGGGCGGGGGGGGTTGTGCGGGAGAACAGCCAAACTGTACATATTGATGAACTTGACACTCCTACACCCGTCATTTCTAAACTAAAGGACACTGGGTCATAACATTTTTTCCCCAAAAGGGCGCAAACGGTTTTTCTGTGTTCCAAACTACGAGATAAAACAAGCGTCACGTTACGTCCAGACACAAGTATGAACAGGAAAGCAGACTACAAAAGGGAGAGGACTTTCCTTCTCCTGCTTTTATTTGAAAATCAAAAACTTCCAGTGCACGCTGATGTTGTTCCAGACTGACACTGCAATTACCAGCACCAAGTCCAGCACAATGCCACATCGACCTTAAACAGCAGTGACACTAATTAGTGTCTCCCCACTTTCAAGTCTTTCCTTCATGTCAGGATTAAGTAATAGAATATGCCGTCTCCTGCCTTTACATTCAAATGATACCGTCTGCCATCATTATACTGGCGAGGTCTATTCCTAAACGGAACATCTGTTTGTTATATATTACTCAACATGTACACACACTTGATTAACACGCCTCTCCACTCAAATGATTTTTTTTAATACTACAATTTCAAGTTTGGCAAATACATTGATACTCATAAATCGTTACAAATAATTCACACTAGGGGAGAAATATTATGCATCGACGCCACGATTACATTTTTTTTTAAAAAACATATCAATGCTGTCCTATTCAACCAAATCGGAAGGAGAAATTCTAATGAAATAATAGCTTCAACAACAAATCAAAGGAAAGAAGCCTTGCTGTGGAACCGTTAACCGAGGAACAGAGCAAAACCCAGCCCTGATATTATTTTTCCACCTCCTTCGACTTCACCGCTAAATGAAGTGTCAGCTGAAAGGCAACACTGTATCATTAATAAATTGCAAAGCAAACATTTTTTTTTAATGAAAGTGAAGCTGTGAGTATTGACAGAAGAGATGAGGGAGAGAATTGGAGAGAAAGAAGGGAGATAGGAAAGAACCCCATTAAACCTAAGAGGAGGGGGTGGAGAGAGAGAGAGAGAGGGAGAGAGGGAAGGGGAAAAAAATCCGTTTTTACCTTCGGATAATTCCAAATCCAGCTCGGCCAGCTTCGCCCTCACCTCGAGAGGAAGAGGCAGACTATCAATGCTGCGGTCCGCCATTCTCTCTCTCTCTCTTTGTGTCCGAGTGACGAGGCCACACTTCAGCACTTTGCAGAGAGATGTAGGAGATGCATGATATTGTACAGGAGGGGGGGAATCTCCACCGCTTCACACTACCGCCATGTCTGCGTCTGCTCTGTCTGTGTTTAGGAGAGAGAGAGAAGGAGGGGGTGCTGGTTGCTGAGTAGAGCGCGCGGTCACAACACAGGCACGCGCTCCAGGAGAGCACAGCACGGCGCACGCCGGGAGCGAGCGTACCGGGGCCGCCGCCAGAGGGAGCGTGCGAGCGTAAGGTAAGGAGTAGGAGAAAGAGAGTGGGGAAAAAGAATGCAAAGCATAAAGAAACAATATGTCCGAGAAAGGAAAGGAAGATAGTGCATCTGTGTGGGAGAAGGATACAATGTATCGGTCTGAGACAATGATACATTGTATCTGTGTGAGAGTGATATAATTTATCAGGCTGAAAGAATGATACAGTGCATCTTTGTGAGAGAATGATACAATACATCTGTGAAGGAAAGATATAATTTATCTGAAAAAGGCTGAATCAATCTCTGTGATAGAATGATAACCGGAAAAAAAAATTCTTTGAAAGAAATGAAGTGTGCATACTTGTGAGGTAAAATGATCAGAATACCTGAGGAAGAAAAAGATCCATTGTGCAAAACAGACGAAGTAGCGAATAGTGAAGGTGAAATACGCATGAGATTATGTGACTTTGTGAGGAAACAGATACGGTGTGTATGCCGATGAAGGTATAGTATATCCGAGACAAAGAAAAGTACCCTAGCCCTGAAATTAGAAGCATAGGAAACAGTTGTCCTTTTATTTTAACAGACATGTTACCCAATATTTTAAGTAAGTTAACTGAGCTTTCACGCCCAGAAAGAAAACTTCAAACTAATGGATTGTGTTCACGAATTAGATACATGTGAAAGGAAGAAATTTGTAATGTGTTCTGAGGATAAGACAAACTAATGAGAAATAATATTTCAGAGAAGAAAAATACAATATATAATACGAAGAGAAATACATTTCTGAATACAGAAAAACAATATCTCACTATAAAAACTACCCATATCCCTAACATCACTGTGGATGTACCCCCATGACTGCCGTGAATCAAAAAGGAAGCTTACCACCAGCTTCTCACAATTATTAAGGATGAACCAGGCCAGTGACACCCACATTCTTTGAAAGAATAAAGAAAACTGAAAAGGGATAACTCTTTTAGAAACATGCATCATGATTCTGAGAAGGCATATGGGAGAGAAACAATGCATCTTAGAAGGAAATGATGCAGTGTACCTGGCTCAATTAAAGGAAACTATCCCTGCAAGATGTAATATCAGAGAAGTATGCAAGATGTCTGTGTAAGACAAAGAGGAACATTATGTCTTAGAAAGTGGATGAAATGTGTGAAAATGAAAGGTATAAATTGTGCAAAACAAAATAAACCAACATGAAATATAGAGAAAAATACACTGTGTGCAGAAAATAGCAATGTGTAAAAATAAAAATTCAATACGCAGGAGAAGACGACAAAATGAAGTCTGCCTTAGAGAGATAGCCACAGGAGTGAAAACAAAAGAATGGAGAAAACATGATCAATATGTGTGAAAATTAAAGTAAGATAAAAAAAATGCTTCTAGGTCAGTTTTCTAGTGTAAGATTTGAATTTCACCTACCAATTTTACGATGGGACATCCCATATCAGAAAGGCACTCAAACTGTGAGAACTACCATCTTGACTAATATTCTCCTTTGACATTACTGGCAGCCCTCAATACTGCATAGGTTCATTAAAGTATTTGCGAACAAAGAACAGTACAGCACAGGAACAGGCCCTGTGGCCCACCATAGAATGTCTACAGTGTGGAAGCAAGCCATTTGGCCCATCAAATCTACACTGACCTCTGAAGAGCATTCACCCAGACCATCCCTGTGACCCAGCATTTCCCATAGCTAATCCACCTAAACCTGCACACTATGGACAATTTAGCATGGCCAATCCACCTAACCTGCACTTCTTTGGACTGTGGGAGGAAATCAGAGCACCTGGAGAAACCCCACACAGGGATAGGGAGAATGTGCAAACTCCACACAGACAGTCACCCAAGTCTGGTTTGAACCCAGGTCCCTGGCATGTGAGGCAGCAGAGCTAACCATTGATGCCTCTTAAATATTACTATTGTATCTGCTTCTAAAAATAAGAGTCCTCCACTTGCATTATAAACCATTTGGGAAATGTGTGCTTGGGTGAATTTCATTTGCTGATTCTTAAATACTCCCAGAAGAAAAAAAGACATGATACAGAGACTGATGGAGTTTTCCCCAAGCTGTGATATGTAAATTATTCCCCAGCATCACTTAGGTGAGTCTCAGGATAGAGATTTTTGGCTGATGGAGAATTTAAAGTCATTTTTGTCTGCTGTGGCTGAGCTTAGAAAGTCTTTCAGTCTAAATTGCTGTTGGGGTGCTGACCTTTGCCTTTAGCAATACAAATGTGAGTGTTGCTGAGATCACCACAGTGACAGCAACAGCAAAAGCAATTACATCAAACCTTAATGCACAGGCCTGTAGTAATACAAAAACGGGCAAATGATGCCTTACAGTCTGTGGGAGTTTTGCAACAGGATATCTTATCTTAAAATTATAAGGAGCAATGAATGAGGAACTGTACTTCAGCAGACTGACAGTCATTGACAACCATAACCTGTTGCAATAGGGACTGGGGCCAAACGTAAAAGTTCACAAAACATTTCTTATGAATGTTAAGATCCCCGACTATGATTCAGACTCATTTCTGACCAAAACAGATGGCATAAGTAATATCAGTTGGTTTGCTATGCATATAGGTATCAAGCAGGTCTTCACAGATGTGATTACACTGGAGAGATTCACCTGAAATGGAAAGGCTCAGTTATAAGGACAGACTGGATAGGCTGGGTTAGTTTTACCTGAAACAGAGGAGGTTATTTTTTGGTGGAAGGGTGGAATCTGATTATGAGAGGCATAGACATGGTAGATCATGAGAATCTTCTCCCTATGGCATATGTGTCTGAGACCAGAGGGTCTAAGTTTAAGGTGAGAAGTAAGTGGTTTAAATGGTAGAAATATAGAATGTACTGAAGGCTACTCAGAAGCATCTGGACAAGTACTTAAAATGCAAAGTCCCCTGGACCAAGTGCAGGTAAAGGGGATTATTGTAGTTTGGTGTTTGTTGGCCAGCATAGACATGGTGGGCTGAAGGGCATGTTTCTATGCTGTATGTCTCTATGATTGTTGGCTGTGGTTCAGTTGGAGTCCTGAAAAGATAGCCAAACCTTTGTTTTTATAAAAGGTCACTAAAAGGACCAGTTCTGAAAAATACTTACTGCACGCTAAATATTAACTCTGTTCCTGTTTTCAGAGATGTTACCAAATCTGTCGGGTTTCTCCAACACTTTATTTTTATTTCAGGTCTCTGATATCCACAGTACTTTGCTTTTATTTCACCACAAGGACGTTAGGACGTTTTTTTTAAAAGATAGCTCTTGGAAATCCCATGGCTTAAGCTAATTGTGTGAAAAACACATGCTTGGTTTTATGGCTGTCTGGCATTAAGAGTTGTTTGGATATATTTTGGAGTTCATATGGGGTACGGTCTGCTGAGAGAGAAAAGCTATCAAGTTTATCCTCTGCCTTTCTGAGCAAACTCTTTGTGGGAGGAGGTAGGTGGTGGGGTTCCAGTGTGATAGCAAAAGCATCTGAATTCTCTATGATTCCTGAACAATCTGCATTTGCAAAGGTCCCAATGACAACTGCCAGTCTTTAGTGACACCCATCTTCTGTGCCAAGATGCAAACTGATAGCCATCTTGAATATTAGATAATAAGGTGTAGAGCTGGATGAACACAGCAGGCCAAGCAGCATCATAGGAGCAGGAAGACTGACGTTTCGGGCCTAGACCCTTCATCAGAAATGGGGGAGGGGAAGGGGGTTCTGAAATAAATAGGGAGAGAGGGGGAGGCGGATAGAAGATGGATAGAGGAAAAGATAGGTGGAGAGGAAACAGACAGGTCAAAGAGGCGGGGATGGAGCCAGTAAAGGTGAGTGTAGGTGGGGAGTTAGGGAGGGGATAGGTCAGTCCAGGGAGGACGGACAGGTCAAGGGGGCGGGATGAGGTTAGTAGGTAGGAGATGGGGGTGTGGCTTGAGGTGGGAGGAGGGGATAGGTGGGAGGAAGAACAGGTTAGGGCTTCTGAAGGGTCTCAATGCTATGAATGTAGACATTGTCACTGTTGGGGCCAAATTGGGAAGGCCTGAATGTGGACTGTAGTCCATTGGGGATGATCTGGTTCCGTAGGCAGGTACTAAGAAAGGTGATGTGGCTGTAGTACCTGGTTTGCTTCAGGACATGGTCGAGCAGTTTCAAGGCTGAAGAGATTACGAGAGAGTTGCAGTGGGAGAGAGATCCCCTGAGGTTTGTCCGGAGGGAGGAGGGTAACTATCTTCAGGCTAGGCGTCCTTAGAAGAGGCTTCACAGTGGGGTTAAAATTGTATCAGAGATAGTAGGAACTGCAGATGCTGGAGAATCTGAGATAACAAGGTGTAGAGCTGGATGAACACAGCAGGCTAAGCAGCATCATAGGAGCAGGAAGGCTGACGTTTCGGGCCTAGACCCTTCATCAGAAATGGGGGAGGGGAAGGGGGTTCTGAAATAAATAGGGAGAGAGGGGGAGGCGGATAGAAGATGGATAGAGGAGAAGATAGGTGGAGAGGAAACAGACAGGTCAAAGAGCCTTCCTGCTCCTATGATGCTGCTTGGCCTGCTGTGTTCATCCAGCTCTATACCTTGTTATCTCAGATTCTCCAGCATCTGCAGTTCCTACTATCTCTGATGCCATCTTGAATATTCCTTTGTTTCCTTTCAAAACTAACAATTGTTGGCTAAAATTTATAATAAGTTCATTAATAATTAATATGTGGGTGGTTCATTTAAGAGTGTAAATATTTATACTGTTCTACTTCCAAACTGTGTGTTGATCTGCTTTGCAACTTCACAGACAATATTCAGTTTTCAAAACAAATCAGTAATTTTGTTGTTTATTAAAGAAACCTAGTTGATTATATTCTTCTGAATCTAACATAGATTAAGTATACAATGACCAATTACTTTAACCATTTCTCATCTCTGC